TTTTCTTGATTGCAAAATATTTTTTTTTCATGCAAATATTAAGGTTGTTGTTTCGATGTAGTCACGTTCAATCGTACAATTGGAAACATTTGTAAAAATTCGATGTCTGTTGAGAGTATTGTTCATTAGAAGCAAAACTTTGTTTGTGTTTAACATTTTTGCCTATCCAAGCCGTTTGAATAGTTCCAATTTCAAATTAAGGTACATAGTTGTTTCGAAACAACATGTACTTAAATTGAATTTTGATTTTTGTATCGTTTTTAATAAAACTGGGGTGGTCAATTTAAATCGAAGTAGGCTCAAATTATTCACAATTAATCAAAGCACAATCAAGTGAAGTTTTGTAGAAATCCTCTATTAAATAATTTCACTTTTAAATTGTCTAGCCACATAACCTAAACGATAAACCTGTACAATAAACAAATCAGAACGATCCTAGAAAAATATCGTTGGAATCGTTGGAAAATATCGTTCGGTTTATTGTAAATCTCTTGGCAATAATGGCCTTGGTCGTTTTCTATCCTCCGCGATCTCCACTTTCCGTTTCGTTCCTCTATGCGCGTTTATTCTCTCGTTTGTTTTCTCTTCCCTCCCATTGCCCGTTTCGCGTTTCGTATTTCTCGCACATCTAGAAAATTCACTGGGAAACCTCTTCTTTTTTTCTTCTCACTTTCTTTTTTTTTACTCTGACCACGGGGCGTCGAAAGGGAAGAGAGAAATCTATTTTCGCCACTCGAGACGATAAACTCTTTCAACCGAGAGTAAACTTTCGGAGAGTGATCCTACCTTGCGGCAAAATTGCGTTCCCGAGGAAACCCCAGAATCCGTGGAAGTTCTTTAGATATCATGTGGACGCCGTGAAGAATTTCTGGACAGTTTCTCGGTGGCGTTCCTCTATAAAAGAAAAACGAAAATGGTGCCATGTATCGGAAACAAAAATGATTTCATATTAAAATGCGAATAGGTGTCCAGAGAATTTTTGACGCGTTGAATATCGTAGCGAACTGTCTTAAGACATCGAAACCTCAACAATCCAAGTGTCCGTATAATTTTAATAGCCGGTGTACTATAAGTTGCATATAAAGCAATAAATAATCGTTACTCCTCTTCAATCAATGAAAAATCACCTTGATTTTTAAGAACTTTCCATTTGCATTCGCAATAAATATTTCCGAGCTTGGAATTTCCTAAAGCTTAACAAACTCGCGCTTCAGTCGACACGCACGAACGAAAGCGAAACGGCGTTTTATCGGTTTCGACCGGTGTCAGCTGTTATCGTCAGCACAATCCATTCATTCACCTGAATCCTTACCCAGAATTGGATAGACGAGGGCATACCTTTGTGGGAAGCGAACGCTGTCGGCTCTCTGTTCATTGATGCGGATCATTTATGATATTTCACCGGCACGTGTGAGATTCCCTCGATACCTTTGGATTTCAGACCTCCCCCGATAGCGAATCACATCGTCAACGTCACCACTTTTCCACTTCCATCCTTAACATTCATATCTTTTCAAACAACAAGGAACTCGCGCGTTCCTCCAGTTCCAACGATTACGACCGCCAGAAAGTCGTCCGATCGAAACAATCAACCCTCTAGAATTTAGTCGTAATACGTCGTAAATAAACATTTTATTTTACAATGTTATTTTAAATTTATTTCATGGAATTTTTTTTTAAGGATATATAGTGGTTCTAGGGGTTCAGGGGTGCTACCAGAAAGAGGAAGGAGGCAAGGAAGTAGATACTTTCTCTCTCCGAGGGAAAATTAAACGTTTGCTTCTAATATTTTTCAAACGTTCAAACGAAATCTTTGCAGAACGTTTTATTTATAAATACAGTTAAAAATAAAGTGCAATTCCCTGTTTGAATTTTTATTCGCGCCAACTGGTTCCGCGTTTTTAATTCAAGTAACACTGTACTTGACGTAGTCTACTTGGCACGGGACGAAATAGAAATTACAGCGAAACGAGTAAATCAACTAGCATCGTTACAATCAACTAGATTTCACTCGATCAAACATTAAACGTCTCGATCCTCGCTTTTAGATCCTCTTCGACAACTTAATCGATCGTTACCCAAGAGGGTCCAGAATCGAGGGTCGAGTTTAACCTCGAGCTTGCTTATCTCTTTTTCAACACAAACGAGCGAACTTTTTTTTTTATTAATTATAACAATAATTACGAGGGGAAACGTATGTCGAAACCTAGTCACGCGTTATTCGCGAGGCAACTAACAGATCCCGACACCTCGGCCGTCGAATTCTGATACAGACGCGTTCTCTGGATCCGAAAAGAGCGCAGGCGTGGGGTGAGTGTCCTTCGTGAGCAGGAGGAACACGTGAAATCCATTTCATCGATTTCGAAACAACTTGTACACGCATTTTTAAACTCCGCACCAATGTATTTCAATCTTCTTCCTAGAGTTTACTTAATTAATTATTAACGATGATTTTACCGGCATTTGTGGGGACATTGCTGAAAGAGAATTATTTTAATTCGCAAATTTTGCTTGGTTCTTCTCCACCTAACTACGAAGGTATACAGTTGCAAATGAATATTCGATACGTTTCGTAGTAACTTTCAAAAATGAAAATTTCATTTCATAGAGTTTTTCAATCGTTTCAGTTGGTTTAGATCTCGATGGTTTTAGTTGTTTAAAGCGAGTTGTTTAAATTATGTTATGTTGCTCTGTGGGTGTGGTGTAATGCTGTAGTATTATGTTTAATAGTATGCTGTGCCATGTTGTCTTGTCCTAAGTTGTGGTCTATTATGCTCCTTTTATGCTGTGCTATTTTGGATTACGCTGTTTTATCCATTCTTATCCAGTCTTATGCTTCCTTATGTCGTGCTATTTTCTATTATATTGTGTATTATTTTACGTCATGTTGGTGTAATGCTTCGTTTAATAGTTTTAAACATCCTAAGCATCACCTACGTAGACGAGAAATTGTTCCCTCGTTATTTTCTCCAATTGCTAGGAAACTCGCGATGTTCCAATCCGTGTATTGTACTCGCGAAGAAGATTTCCCCCGTAAATTACAGCGGTGTCTTTCAATCCATGTCGTTAAGAGATCCGAGGGCGGTAAGACATAAACGATTAAATCAGTGAGTTAGTTGGTTGAACGACGTATAAACGTGCACACGGCGCGGAGGCGTCGGCTCTCAATAAAGCACGTTACCAGCCGTTTGCAGAAGCAATTATTCCGTGTCTCTGTATTCGATTGCAAACTTTCTTGAATCCTGCACGGTTCTGTAATAACGAAATATCGAGATCGGTGTACCTACAGTAATTGCGTAATTAAGCAGACGTAATCGCAAATACACGAAATTAACTCGCAGTGGAACTTATTGAAGGCATACACAGACGTATATTTAAGAAATAGAGAGTAAATTTGAATTAAGGCGTCTGACCACCCTGAGCGCTCGCCAGATGGGTACTATTCTTAAAAAAAAAATTAATTAAAAAATGTATCAAGTAATCGCAAAAATCCATTGCTATTCTTCAGATAATGTATCTAAAAGTAGCGTGCACAAATTTCAGAGCAATCGGACCGATAGTTTACTTTCTTTTGGGATTATCTCGAAACTACATTTTTCGAAATGGTACAACGTAAATCTCGTAAACTATCGGTCCGATTGCTCTGAAATTTGTACACGCTACTTTTAGATACATTATCTGAAGAGTAGCAATGGATTTTTGCGATTACTTGATTAGTTTTTCTTTTATTGACGATTTTTCTCGTGAAATTTCGGTGAAAAATAAAAATAAAACTTCTTCGGCTCACCGTAATTTTCTTAATGGTAAAAAAAAAATTCAATTCCTACTCTCTTGCGACAAACTCCAGAAATAATGTAATATTTTTTTTTTGCTCTTTCACATGCAACCTAAAGAATATAATATGATGGGACAACAGCCCACGCGCGTTTCGTGCCGAAGGCCTTCGCCAAAATTTTCGAACCGCCGCCATTTTTTTTCTTTGTTATCTCAATCAATTTTTCATGTGTTCATTAAATCGTTCTTTAGTATGTGTCAAAACATAAAAGTATATTTTTGTCTATACTTTCGTATTTATGAATTTTTTAAGAATAGTACCCATCTGTCGAACGCTCAGGGTGGCCAGACGTCTTAACCGGCAATCACGACGTTCCTCGACGAATTTGAATTTCGAATTTCGAATTATTTGAGAGTTTCGAAGCGGTAATAGGAAAAATGTCACATTTTCAGTTTCCTGAACCGTGCCCTTCCCTCGAATCAACCCCCGTATATTTGTCGTCCCGTTCGGACGGGCTTCGGTTTTAATTAATTGTATTTACCACTCGATCGCTGAGTGACCGTGTAAATGGCGTTTCCTCCTTGCGAAGGAGGCTGATGGCCGGGCGAAGAAAAAAAGAGGAACGGTGCCCGCTTCCGATTTATTAGGGGCGCGGTGGCGTACTCTTCCGTTGCACACGATCGTATCCAGCTGGTATCTCCCCCTCGCGCGGTTCTACCGTACCCTGGTAACCAAACGTAATTATTTTTAAAAAGGATGTAGGGACCCCTTTGGTGTTTTCAGCGGACGGAACGCGTGGTTCGAGCGTAGGTGCTTCAAGAACGTTCGCGGTGGATAGGTCGATGAGCGTTTCTCTAAATCATTTCACCCGTGTAATCGCTACGTTACGCGACCAGCATCTATAAATAGATAGTTTAGAGGTTCATAGTTTAATAAGGATTTATGGTTTTGAGTATTAGGTTGGCCAAAAGGTTCGTTTAGTTTGTCGCGATTGTAATTGACGAAGATTTCTACAAAGTAATCATGCATTTGTCACGATAGGTGGGGGAAGATCGTGTTTAAATTTTTCTTTTGAGTCAGCTACGATATTACAACGATGAAAATGCCTCGTTGCATTTAAAAGAGTGTCAATGACCTTGAGAAAAAAAAAATAATCTCACCGCTACATGCGGCATTCCACACAGTGTGACTTGGTTCCATAGATTTTCGTTTCGTAAAACGTCAAGCAACGGAGATATTTCGGTGTTCTCATTTAAACGCTCTACCCTGTATGTAATTTTGTCAATTTGTCGCGATTCAGATGGTTTCAGACGTAGACAAAAAAAATAGTCTCACCGTTACATGCGCCACTTCATAAAGTGTAACGTGGTCCCACTTTCTTTTTCTCATGAAACCTAAAGTAACAGAGATATTTTGGTGTTCCCATCTAAACGCTCCAACCAGTATGTAATTTTTGTAGAAATCGGAGTTAGAAATCGGCGATCATTCGAAGCATGATACGACCAGTTAAGCCGCCGTCATCATTGAAGTGTTGTCAGCCACCGCTTGTTGCGTTGGGTATATATTGCCCTAGATTAAGCCTAGAGTTACACCCCCATCTCTAATAAAAAGCAAGCGTTCGACGATTTATCGTCAAGGGGCCGTTTACCCGGTCCCCTTTCTAGAAAAACTATGACCTAATTCAGTTTAATCGTACGCTATATTCACACGCCTTGGCGAACAATATTTGGATAATCAACGTTGCCCAAAGATCTTTTATTCATTCACGGAGAGAAGCTTTTATTAATTTCTGGATGTTGGATACGATGAATCCTGAGTTTCGATCACCGATAGATCAATCCTTCGACTGCGAAACTTTTTTATATTTACAGTTTATTTATACGACGATTAGTGTCGAAAATAGAAATTAAAAGCTTAGAATTTCTTTTTCTCCAAAATTCGATTACATTTGAATCGTCTTGCAAAAGTAAACGATTGTGTTCGTTTTCTGTGTCCTTTAAAGATTTCGAAAATATATTAGTTAAAAGCGAAGAACAATCTTTCCGAGAAATCAAAATTTTTCTTCAAAGTTACGACGTGTTCTATAAATAGGACACTGGCATCTAGAGACATCTAATAATATCGTGACACTTGTACAGTGTACAGTATGGAACAACAAACAATAGTATTGGGAGCGTTTAAAAGTATTCCTTTTAGCGAACCTCCCCTCTATCATTAATTAATAATAAAAAACAGAAGCATTACTGTACAGAACAATTCCTTGATATTTATGAGAATTAAAGAGTCATTTTTATAATCGAAACAAGGGAGGAATCGTGTAGTTCGTTCTTGTTAAAGTACGATTCGTAATCTTTGACTACGCGAAAGGCACGTAGTCTAAGCGATTGCTGATATCGTTTATTTGCAATTCGTGTAATTTATCGATACCACCTGTACAATCTTATATTTCGTGTACATAGCGCATTCGATAAAAAGGAAAGATCGAGAAGGTGTTCGAAAATCATTTCCAAATGAAATATCATAAATATCATTATTCATAAATCCAATATATTATAAAGAATATATTATAGAGAATGAATCCATTATTGGATGAATTTGTACAATAAATAAAAAGGTGTATTAGGTCGTCTTAAAAGTTCGTCCCATTTTTAATTTTATTTCTCAAATTAATATGTAAAACATACTCTTAAGAGTCACAAGAAAAGATAATCTGTCTCATTTCACAATAGTTCCTCACCTCTCTCACATAGTCATTATACCGTTATTAAAAAATGTCTGTACTTTTTCATTAAATTTCGAGACAGTCTTCAGCACGAACTTATGGGACGACTTAATACAATCCCATTTTAAACAAGGAAGCCAAATGACAAATCGAAGGTTATTTATTTTTCATCGTTGTTACAAATATTTGGCCAGATAAGAATTTTGCCCATCCCTGATTGGGTCCCCTGAGTGGGGAACGCGCATACGTCGTACGCCTAAGTGCATCCCCTCTCCTTTAACTCTTCCTTGGGCCCGTATCTATCGCGACCCGTGCGACAACCAGTCCATCCGCGGTGACGGCGACGAATAGATCGCGACTCCGTTGTTGCGCGACAATCGATTTCCCATTCGTCGATCCATCGACAGCGTCACCGGAAACGGGCAACCGCGACTGACCATCGACCTGGTTTTCTTACGAAGCATTTTGTGTGATCGCGTACATTTATTTATTTATTTATTTTTTTTTTTGGTGCCAAACGAAGAAGGAAAAGTGCCTCTCGACTATCGAAACGAACCTGGTTGCGCACAGAAATGGACAACGTTTTATTCGATTAACAGGTAACGAACTAATTAATTTATTGATGTTGATTATATGGAGAATTTGCTCGCCAATCTTGAAATTGTCACTTGTGTTTTATTTGATTCGTTGGACTGTTCGCCTCGATTCGCAAATACTGCGAGTCTATCACACCTTTTACCCAAATCTAAATAAATAACAAAACATTAGACAACATTTTTCTTTAAACGAGCCTGTTCTGGAACTTTTTATAATGGTTACGTGTTTGTTTCATTTGTTATCCGTCGTTTAAAATTTCTATTTCCACAAGAAATTCGCCCTATGCCCGAAAATTGACGGTACTTGTTTTTGTTATAGTTGGAAGAAGGAAGAACCTGCGCGACCGGACTTGCACTCTCGTTTTTGGCGGCGTCATCCGTGAGTCAGGAGGAAGTCGGATGTTCCGCTGTTCGCGAATCGCTATGACGGATGATTCGTGAAAAGAATTAATGCGGTGAGTCAGAATTGGTATTCGTACGCTTCATTATTCCGTCGACAGTTCATTTATCTTTGCGCGCTCCTTTATTCGCGAACATGTGTTATTTGTTGTGTTTGTAAACACGAGCCCCTCCGATGACGGTTACCAAAGCGATGATATTTAAACCTTGGAGCCTGGCTAAAAATTATTTGGTCGCCTTGGGAAAGTCAGCCTGACCGCAAAATTAATTTAGTTGGATGTAATTCTTTTATTTATGTTAGGTATGGAAATTAATTCTCCGCCTTTCTATGGCAAACTTATCATTTATTTAAAAAGAAATGAATTGCACGACTTATGATCTTCCTTCGGACACGCGAGAGAGCTAATATAGTTATAAAAACTATAGGAAATCTGTGTGTTTCTATTCAAACTAGAATTACAAATAATTATGCGGGCGTAAAGGTATAGTTTCTACGCCTAATATTTTAGAATACAGTGAAACTCCAATTATTTATAAAAATTCTATCAAGAATCTACCGCGACTCGTTCGCATCGCATATCCGTTTCACAAATTGGATTCGAGGACTCCGATGGTCGTTCTTCGACGAAATGCAATCGATGCCAAGAGGCATATGCGTCGTTTCGAGGACCAATGCCAAGATCAGGACAAAAAACACGAGTATGCGTTTCGTGCGACGACGAACGTCACGGAGACAAAAAAAGGCTGCCACAATACGCAACACGAATGACGTCTGTGTATTTTCCCTTCTTTTCTGCGCTGTTCCACTGCACCTGTCGCTCTTTATCGCTCTCTGGAATCCTTCTTGCGACGGTTCCCTAAGTGCAGGCGACCATAACTTGCTTTCGGAGCACGTGGTATTGTGGGTGGGATTCGAACTGAACACGGATAACTATACATGTACCTAGATCGCTAACGAACCATCGTGGGGACGACTTTCACGTGGAAAATTTATTTGGAAATGATAAACATGTACACGAATAAACTGTACACATGTATCATTATTTATAACGAAGAATTTATTTGGAAATGATAAACATGTACACGAATAAACTGTACACATGTATCATTATTTATAACGAAGAATTTATTTGGAAATTATAAGTGTGTACATGAATAAACTATACACATGTATATATTTATAATGAAAAATACCTTTGTAAACATCAAACCTATCGTACAATTTGTACAAATATCTTGAATAGACCTAGATGGTACGAATACTTAATAACTTGCAGTTTAACCTAGGTTGGTAATCGCTGCCATAAATGGCTGACACTGTCCCCCAGGTCACGGGTTAAGAGTATGACTATTGCTCCACCCGATTGTCCACAATTGATTCCTCATTCGTCCATTTGCATAAGTCTGTCTTATTCGTGTAAATCCACAATGAAATATTTATAGCGACGAAGAAACAGACGAGCTTATATACACGGTAGCGTCATAGTTTTCTGCATCCGATATCCGGTCAACGGGCACGCGAAAAATTTGTTAAACGACACCCTGTTCGCCAGCAAGTAGCGTTCAATTAGAAGCAATTTAGAATTCTCGGAAACTAGCGTGAATCTTCAGTTGCAACGAACTCGTGTTCCATTTTTCAAAGTCGAGCTTTATTGTTTTCTACGTTAACCCTTTGTTCTACAGTGCGATTCACTCGCAGTTCAACATCGTCAATTTATCTCCATTTCGAATTAGGATAGCCATCCCTAGTCAAGTATACAAGTTATTCTAAAGTGTTACAAAGCTACAAATAATATATAAATAATATTAACTTTCTGCTTCTGTTACCATCGTACGAATTAACTTCAATTATAATCGCTGATGAAGACTGATTTCGAAACGCGTTAAAAAGAAACTAAATAAAAACTCCTATCCTCGTTTACCCATTCGTGATCAGACTCCGAACTTCAAAGTAACACGTCAGACTCCGGAGTAGGCTCCGCGTCACGCGCGTTACGTTTTCTATATCGTTACTCTCGCATCGCTACCTGATAATCTCGCAAGGTGTAAAAATATCGTTCCTCGTTCCCCATGAATGGAGCCGATCGTAGTTTGTACGAAACCGCGGCAAACGACCGATTTGCATTCACTGGCCGCGCGCCTGCTGATCGTCCCGCGGCGTTGCTTAGTATAGTTACTTTCACCGTGAGTCAACTTGACTCATTCATTGCCATTCGCCGCGTGATTAACTCGGAAATCATTCGGTGACGTCAGGCTGTCGCGAAGGATTCCGCTGAACGTTACATGTGACGTACCATCGCGTTGTTTTGTCATGATAGGTGCAACGAGACACCAGGAAGATCGTCTACTATCTTTTCCAAGAATGAAACATAGAAAGAAAAGTTCCTTCAATTGACCCTTTCCGACCACAAACCTATTCAAATGGGAGAGATAGCAAAAAATGCTAAATAAAAAGAAGTTTACTTTTGATGAACAATACAGTGCTCTTAATAGAAATACATAGGCCACGCCGTTAGAGTCAATTACGTCACTTTGTTTTATAAATATTGTAGATTTGAAGAGAAATGGTTCCGAAGAATACCTGAAAATTTGCGTTCCGAGATTGGAGAACATCCTTAATTTATTTTTCTTCGAGAAAGCACAGTTTCTAAATATTATCCATAAATTTAGGACCTCCAGGAGCTGATGTAAAGTTTATTTGGAAACGATAAATATATACACGAATAAACTATAGACGTGCATGTATTTATAATGAAAAGTCAGGCTAATGTTAATTCGTACAGTCGCTACTAGAACATGATTAGATTCACCCTTCGCGGCTTAGGTGGGGTTAATACGATCGTGGGTCGGCATTATTCGGTATTCATCCAGCTAGCTGTAAGTGATCCGGTTAGCCAATTAAGCCCTTTTTTCGGCTCGTTTAGCGAAGTCGCTGTAACACACATTGGAGAACACCATTCGTTTAATATCATAGCACTTTCGTCTAAACGGAAGTCTTAAATTTTTAAGGAATTTTGTTCCTTTTAATCAGTTTACGTTAAAATAATACGAGGACGATAGTATTAAAAATAATTCCGAGTAGATTGATGTCGGATAAACAATTTACTCTAAGGTGTTGTGTTAAGGTATCAATGGTACTCTATACTAGAGAAAAATTATAATCGACAATGAAGGACAAGCATTGCTTGTCAAATATGCAATTTAACGAGATGTATCATAGAGGTTCCAATGGTACTATGCTAGAGAAATATTACAATTGATATTAAAAGACGATCAATGGTCCCAAGTGGAAACGGATTTAGCGTCAGTTTCATCTCACGAAGCACGTCCAAAAGAGATATATCAAAGGGTCTACGCAGTAAAAAGTAACGATGGAGAAACGAGAGGACGTCACCCACTGGTTCCCATGTCTTCCATAAGTTTTGACGAGTTTTTTGTCGCGTGGGGACGCCTAGCTCTGGGTGTCCGTTAATTTCTCTTAATTAAGCTCAATCGAGGTTAATGCACCGCAGCTTGACCCCAGTTTACCAAATCCAACAGAAGCTGAAACTTGCGTACAGTTTCTCCATCGATACATCGCCACTGTACCTTCGTTTTTTATGATATTAATTAATCCAATCATAATTAGGCCCACAGTATAAATGATTCATAGTAATTCCGATATTAGAGAGTAAAACCGAGTTTGAATAAACATGGATTATTTTGTATAAATACTTCTACATACATTCAATGAAAAATTTTAATTATCAATTACTAATATTCGTTTCATCGAATAGGCATCGAATCGGTTCGAGAAAACTGTTTCAAAACAAGAGCGCGACTTCCGCGTTGCGTCATGCTCGATGGGGAGTATACACACTGCGGTTTTCTTTTCGTGGGAAATCGTGTTCCCGTGTTTAGGAAAATATTATCGTTCGCGATTATGGTTACTCGTGGGTATTACACTCACTGATATTTCCAACCAATACTTCCATGTTACAGTAAAACGTAGTTTATCGTTCAAATTATTTCGATTATTCTTAACAAATGATAGAAATATTCACGGGAATAATATTTAAAAGAGGAATATCAATAAATCGAAACGAATCGCTCGCGCCACAACGCTCCTCAGTTTTACTCCAATTTTTGATTGTTATTTGCAAGGTGATCGAAAAATTGTTTGTTCGTTTTCAAAACGATACGCGTGTGTTTAATTTTCTTCTATTTGCTCGTCTATTTCCAGGCCTCGGAGGTGGATCAAAGTCGAATGAATCACTCGAAACGGTACAGAAACTCGTCATCGTCGAAATGGACAATTTGCCCACGTGGATGCTACGTGTTTCGGAAAACAGTACGTCGGAGAGCCCGATAATCGATGGCGAACTGTCCAGGTGATTGGAATCCCTCTAAAAATGAAATACATAGAACATGGAACAATGAGATAATTTCATTTCTTCGTCCAAAATAAAATTGTCTCTCATTGTAAATGTAGGCAAAATATTACTTGTCCACTTATGTGATCGTTAAGTAGATAGAAAAATAGGTGGTAGGTGAAGACGTTTGCATGACGTGTAATCGTATTCGATAAGTCGCGAATGAGATTTAAGATTAACGAACAATACGAACATTATATGTATAGGTTCCCGGCGCCGCTGAGGACGTTCGCAGCTGTGGTCGCTATTATAATAATGATCGTCGGTCTGACTGGCAATCTATTGACGATCATTGCGTTGTGCAAGTACCCGAAAGTGCGAAACGTTGCGGCAGCTTTTATTATCAGGTACTGTTTGGTATTGTAATTTGTAGGGGTGTGCGAGATTCCCGAAAATATTCGGGATTCCCGAGAATATTCGGGATTCTCGAGTTGATTCGGGATTCCCGAGAATACACGAGAATATACGGGATCTCGAAAATGTTCGGGATTCCCGACAATGTACGGGATATAGAATAATATCTGGGATTTCCGAAAGTGTTGAAATTCTTGAAAATTTCAGCAATCCGAATGTACGGGAGTTCGAAATTCCCGGGAATCCCGAACATTTATGGGATCTCGAGAACATTTATGGGATCTCGAGGTTTTCAGGAATCTCGAATGGTTTCGGGATCCCAGAAATTCACGGGAATCCCGGATGTATTCGGGATTTTGAAATTCTCTGGATTGATCCCGATCCCGGGAGGAATTCCCGTCCCGATCGGGATTCTACACATCCTTAGTAATTTGCAATTTGTAATCGGGGTACTTGATATTAATAACATTTTCGTTCGAATAATTGCAGCCTGTGCGTGGCAGACTTCGTGTTCTGCCTTTTAGTACTGCCGTTCGATTCCATCAGGTTCGTCAATGCCAGTTGGGCGGAAGTGCGGTTTCTCTGCATCCTCGTACCTTTCCTTAGATACGGGAACGTTGGCGTCAGCCTCCTCTCCGTTGCAGTTATCACTATCAATAGGTATGCGTTCGTAAACTTTCTATTATCTCACCTTGGAATGTAAATTGCACCTTTTCGAGGAATGCAATTACAAGATGTTAATACGTAAAAGTTGACATAACTGGTTGTTTCAGATACATCATGATAGCTCATCATGGCCTGTACAGCAAGGTCTACAAGAAATATTGGATCGCGTTTATGATAGTCTTTTGCTGGCTCTTCTCTTATGGGATGCAAGTGCCCACCCTGTTGGGAATATGGGGTAAGATTGTGTTTTCATATAAACAGCGTCAAGAGCGTTAGGTTATTTCCAGTCATTTTGATTTCACCTATTTTTTCGTTGTTCCTCAGGTAGGTTCGACTACGACGCAAATTTAGAAACCTGCTCTATCGTTAAGGACAGTAGAGGCGGCACTTCGAAGACATTCCTATTCGTCATGGGTTTCGTGATACCTTGCTTGGTAATCGTGGGATGTTACACGAAAATATTTTGGGTTGTACACAGGTAAATCCAGGATGTCTCAGAATTGGTGTAAGAACCGGAAATAGATGAGACGATTCTGAATCATAATTTCCTTTGCAAAAATGTCAAATGGTGGGTCGTTTTTTCGTTGGTGATTTTCGATAATAATTCAAAAACGAAGCACCATTCGTCATTTTTGTAAAGGAAATTGTTGTTCAGAATCGTCTCAGCTACCTCCTATTTTCGGTTCCTGCAATAATTCTGTGTATATTTACTTTCACCTGATAGAGCGTTAACGGTACGAACATATATGTTACTCGTTTCCTGTGATTTATCAGCTCCGAGTCAAGAATGCGAAAACATGCAACGCCAACGATAAAGTCCCCTCATACCCCAGGAAGGGACACCAGAGAGATCAAACAGAGACGCAGCGAGTGGCGGATCACGAAAATGGTCCTCGCCATTTTCCTCAGCTTCGTCGCTTGTTACCTTCCGATCACTATCGTCAAAGTCGCCGACGTCCAAGTTCGATATCCAGGTAATTTTACAAACTGATCAACCCAAGTTATATAAACTAGCAATAATAACTGATAAAGTAATTATAGATGCTTGTCTAAACGTTAGGTTGACGAAAATCTCTTATTAGATTTCCATTACTGAAATAATGCTGCAAATACAATGTATATCGTTTTTCCGTTTAGAATTTCACGTGATGGGCTACCTTCTCCTGTACTTTGCCTCGTGCGTGAATCCGATCATATACGTGATCATGAACAAGCAGTACAGGCAGGCGTACGCTGGGGTGATAGGCTGTTCGAGGATAAGGGCGAGCCTGACGCCTTATGGCAGCAGTGCCCCGTGTCACCAACAGCAGGACTACGGCCAAGGTAACTTCGAGCACCGTCGCGTGGTAACGCTCACCAAGCTCTGACCGAACGCGAGCTAAGCGACCACACTTCGCTCACTTCGTAAGTCAAGGGCACAAATTCCGCTGCTTTCTTAGATTGCAAATGGTCCTTTCGGGCATGTCCCCTGTCCATGTGTGTCTACGTCTCTGTGTAAAACCGCAACTAACGCACTTACACATCTGTGAATTTCACCAACTGAAAGGTATCAGATCAACATTTCACCTATCGGTTCATTTAAAAACTAGTCGTTCGTTGCACGAATCGATTAACTTCGTCAAACCAAAGTTAAGAAATGCGGTGGAAAAACCTCTGAAATAAATTATTTGTTATTCAATGGCCAACAAATTTTGTCGTTTAATGGTGTTAGTTTTTACTATTCAGGAAAGTTTTTATAAATATAAAAACTTATGACTACACCAAGTGCTTTGGCACTTAAATTTAAGATTTTCCAAAAAGTGGAGATAATCGGTTTGTGCAGCGAACGGGTCAAATAGTCTACAGCTTAGAACAGAACTTCATACACGGTGTTCCAGAATTAGTGCGTGAACCGGAAATGGAGGGTAACTGAGACGATTCTGAACCACAATTTTCTTTGCAAGAATGTCGTATGTTGCTTCATTTTGGAATTACGAGCGCGCGCCACTCGGCGGTTGTGAATCACACATTAACACGTTGACTGCCAAACGAATATTCTTGAAAGTTTCTGCTAAGATTAAATATTATTTAAACTATCGGAATCTAGGTAATGAAACATTTATCGTGGTAGTTAGTTTTGTAATTACATCAAAATTCAAGAAGTTCATTTAGATTCATCACCTGTGACGTAAGTCATCACCATATATGGGTGACATGGCGATCAATGTGTTAATGATTCAAAAACGAAGTACCGTCCGACATTTTCGCTAAGGAACAAGTTGTTTCAAATCACCTCTCAAACCACCCCTTTCAAGGACCTCCAACATTTTTCGGACACCCTCTATAGTTATATAGTCTGAATGTATTCTAGGAATCGAGGACGATATTTATTGTTTTTCTATTTATCAGAAGAGGACTATATCTCGATCGCAAAATCATTCGAATCTGTCCCGTCTCTGTCCGGAACCACCTCCTGTCGCAGGATAACAGAACTCCGGGGCATCGAGCTAACCGCACACATAAGTCATCAGCTTCGACGACTTTCCTCATTAACAGTTTCCTTGCTTGCTGCCTATGCGTTCCATCGATCGTTGAAGCACGCGTTCGAAGGAGAACAGGTGTCACAAATCGATCTCCATCTGGCCGATTTATTTTCCAGACTACTCGAAGGACTTCAGCAAGACGATGGTGTCGACGGTCTCCATCGCTATGAATCCAGTGAGAAATCCTCAGTTCGACGAGGATCCTTAAATTTGGGATCGAGCTAGCCACTAATGGAGATCCTCGCCACAGAGGATATGACTAAACATGAAAAGAATGACGATTATGAATGACCGATGTTTGAAGAAGACAGGAAATACGAATTGTAAATAGAAGGTTTTATAAATTGACGAGACTGCTCGGTGGACGAAGGAAGTGCAGGGAAGAATTCACGTGGGTGCAAGGACGCAACTGTTCTCAGACATGCTTGGAACTTGGTATAATATTACTTCGTTAACTGATCGCCACATTTTAAGTCAGTTTTCTTCGATATCCAACGGTACCATCTTACGAGGAGAGTGGAATATGATATAAGAGTGAATCAAATGGACGATATATCGCAAGACTAGAAAGGCAATTAAAATTGGATTGGTTGGTGAGGCTATATCACAGAGTAGCTTTAGTGTCAATAGTACTCTGTGGTTATACTGTAACTAACGCGATGGCTGGTGTTGTATAATAGGGAATAAACTAAGTTATTTATCGACTGACAAACGAAATATTAATAGAAACGTAGAAAAAAAAGAAGTAAACGAAATACTCTACGTATATAAATAATCTAAGAGACGCTCGGAAGCAAGTATCGAGCTTTTGCCAAAGGTTGCACACGAATATATTTGTACATAAAATACGCACGACAACTTTTAATGATACGATGTAAGAATGAAGTAAACGTGACGCTGACGAAGTTCGAAAACATTCGTAGTTTAATGTTACAAAATCTCGTCGTATTTGTTAAACGTTCTCCTCACGTAATCCAAAAACTGAGAGCCATGTAAAGAGGTTACCGAATAAGTACAAATTAAATAAAAAAACTTGTTTTTATTGTACACGTTGTACCTTTCCTTTTCGCTTGGAACTCGCGCGTATATCTCGCACGACTACATATACGATACCTAAGAGCACGCGAGTAATTTTCAGTCTCTTTTATATGGATGTAAAACGGGTAAAAATTTGTATAAAAAAAAAAAGGTTAACTCTTTGGGATGAGGACGGCGATACCATAAATGAGATTTCTGTAATCCGTGCATCGATTAGGATTTACAACAAGGATTTTTGTCTCGAATCGCAGGCTTGTCTCGCAGCCTGATGGAATCGCGCACTCCTCCGTCGATTTTCGATTTGAGCACGTTTTCCACTAAATATCGCATCGCCACGTCTGCAAGAGAATAGAAACATTTTTATATTATACGTTAACGACAGACAGAGATGGCCAGATTTCTTATTTTTCTAATAAAAATTTACAGTTCTTAAAAAAAAAAAAAAGAAAATAATTGCACTCACCGATATTTGTATTTTCTTTAGCAGAAGTTATATACCAGGCGCCTATGTCGTTCTCCTTGCAAAATTTTGCGATTTGCTCGGTTGGTACCACCGGACAAGGGACGTCGCACTTATTCGCCAAAAGAACTACGGGTATATTTGTTCCATCCGGCAGCGTGACCTTTTCCCTCAGATCGGAGAGCCATTTCTTTATCGACTGGAACGTCGCTACTCGCGAGATGTCGAAAACCAAAGCTGCAGCCACTCTGTAAAATGACGTACACAGTGACTGAAAACTCGACGAAATTTCCGACAATTGTTTCCATGCAGATGGACGTTTTGTTACGTTTTATCTTATTTAAATTAACCCATTTATTTCACCCATTTAACTCAACATCTTAAATTAACTTTGAATCTCCACTTTAACAAATACTCACGCATACTTGTAATAAACTCTGGTCATATATCCGAACCTCTCGTGGCCCGCGACATCCCTGAAAATTAGAGCGAAGACATGAAGCAATAATGCTACGCCATGCCCACAATAAGTGGAAAATGGCTTGAACTGGCGAATGATCGCATCGACAATACCATAGTTGCAAGTTTATTTTAGTGTGAGGATCCCAATCGAGCGTTTTTATCGCGAAATCGGCTCCTATGGTAATCTTGTAATTTGATGTGAACCTTCCTGCAAAGAATAATTGCAAACGGTATTGACGCAAACAACGGTGATCATGTTTCATAGAAATTGGACGTTTCGTTTCCGCACGGGTGACAATAACTGGCTTTCCGCGTTAGACATTGAGAAGAATTTACATTGTTTATTAGGCGTAGAAATTAATTCCGTGCCTCTATTCGGTCACTTGCGTGGTTTAACGTAAGGAATATGGGTCATGAACAATAAGCACGTGTCTGACTCGTGATACTTCGTTCGGACTTCCTACCTTTCCGTTTACTATGGCTACTCTTTTAGGTATTTATTGTTAGGAGGTAACTGTTATAGGACAAAAGGGACGGGACATCCTAAATTTGTAAGAATGAAAAGTGGCATTAATTTGTTATTTTTTGGATAGCTCTTATAAAACTGAACGTTTACTTGTTAGGTATTTATTACAAAATTTGTTTTTAACAAGAACGCTTAGACACAATGTGGGCATTTATAACTGGTCCTAGCGAGGGTAAGGTTCCTCCCGCACCAACCTCACTCTCGCCAGCAATGCACTTATTTAACAATACCATCGTATACAAAGAGCAACCGATTAAGTATTATTACAAACAAGCATGATTTTCGTTACCTTCTGTATATCTTCTGACGAGCGCTGTTTTCCCTGAAACGAATTAACACGCAATTGTTATTCACGTAATCTTCTCCTTTTGAGTAGAAATCAAAACAATACTAAATACTATCGTTATTAATATGCAATAAATTTTTGTATCGTTCGCTACTAAATTACGTTAATGAGAAAACAGCATTTAATGATTACGTTGGGTTCAGCGCAGATGACGTCCAGCGAACAAACTATACCTATATGTGTTGTTTTAAAATAATGTTTCTCGACGATTTATCATCGAGCAAACTTCGTATTTCTTTTCTTTTTTTTCCCCCAATATTGATATCAACTTTAATTGAAGCAAAGAACTCGTATCGTGTGTAACGTCTGCAAGTCGAGCTTATCAATGAATCGTGTAATTTTTAAATGCTAGATATACGCTCGAGAAAGAAGAAGATACGATGTCAAGGACGAGCTCGTTAATGCACTCGCATCGACGAAGTGTCGAGGAAACATAATGAAAGCGTGCGTGAAATTTCAAATTAAAATCTTACGTTCTTTCTTCAATAACAAATTTATCAAGAAAACTGCTTTCTTGACCACCTCAAAAAAAAAAACAACTGTTTTCCTTGATCGTCTTCTTCTTGTTTATTTCTCACTGCTGGATAAGTAAGTACTCTAGTGGTCTCACAGGGAAGAGAAAAGTGCTTAGAAACGACTAGATAACTGTAGGAATATTAATTGAAGCGTGAAACAGCCTCAACGCACCGACGCCATAGTCACCAATCACGAGGAACTTGAAGAGGAACTCCTTGTGACCGAACTTGGACAACAGGACATCCGAGTCCCTCCTCGGTTTACGTGTATTCATCCCGTGGATCACTGTTCGCCTGTTTCGGATCGTTCCTCGTGATCCAGAAGAACGACACTGCGTCGCCTTCTCGCCCGGGTAGTAAACTAAATCGCGCCGAACCGAGGGAGACGAGAGCCTCGAGCTCATGGGTCGTCTTCCCCCCTGGCTCCACTGGCGATCTATCGTGACGTTAGCGCGCGTTATCGCCTTTATCCTGCGGTACTCTTTGTAAACACCGAGGATCGTTCTTGTACACGTCGATTCGGATGATCGACTCTTTTTAGGGAGCTACGAATAACGTTAGTTTGCGTTCTAAACGTTTCATCGACGTTGATTCTCCATGATCCTTATCCTTTTTGGAAGATTCAGTGGATCGATAGCATTTTTTGAAATCAAGATTGTCGACATCGATGACGGGGTTAAAGTTAGACATTTGTGATTAGGAAGGTACCACTGTCGAAGTCATACGTGAAATTTAGAATGTTAAAGTTTCGGTCACTTGTAGGAAGGAAGTCGCTATCGAAGTCGTTTATGCAGCTTAGAATGTTGAAGTTTAAGTCAGTTCTGAAAAGTGAGTCCCTTGGAGTTACTTAAGAAACGAAGAGTGTTAAGGTTGAAGTGATTAATGAAACTAGAAATTACGAAATAATGAAGGAATAATTTATGCAGGAAGTATATACAAATAGATCAGGGGAAATAAATTGTACAAAGAATTATTCGAACAGAGTGTATTTATACAAGAGTCGTATCTGTAGTTTGTGGGATCGTTTTAAATTAGCTTAATCTGCTTCTGGCACGCAAGTGTGTCTTAGGTCATTAAAGAAGAATGCGATATCGCTATGAATTATATTTCATGCTTTTGTTATGGTGTAATGCCAAGGTTGTCAACGGTTGCACGATGACGTCATTTGATTTTGTTCCTCAATTATATGTTGAATTATAATTTTGTACAGATTATAGCTTTCGTAACTATTCGATTCTTTCACTTTTGTTCGGTGGATTAAGACTACGCAATAAAAGTCGATAGGTTGTAATAAAGGTGATTAGGGTGACAACCAAGTCCTCGGATTATGGATAGTTATGGTGTCGATTTCTTCTCGAGTGAAACCTTTCAGCAACATTTTCGGTACAACGTTCTTGAAGACATGAGAATATCCGTGGCCACCAAAGGCAATCTGTTTCAACAAATAAAATGGAATATCGCACATTATAACGGTATTCGTATATGGCAGGACTTGAAACTCACGAACTGCTGCGTACACAAGCTTTCGCACTTTGGAAGCAATAAATATTTTGTTCGTACATAATGAGTCGCTAATCGCAAATAAAATACACGTTACCTAAATTTAAATTTAATAAGAACTAAAAATAAATAACAGTTTCCAACGTGGTATTGAAATGGAGTGTACATGCCATATACCATCCGTACCCCTAAACTTAAAGGACCTTAGATCGGAATCCGATAGAACACGTACCCACTTCGAGTAGGAAAGTACCAGTAAACATAAATCTCGGATTTCACTTGTTGTACGATACAATTCAAAATATTTAGTTGCTTCTGTAGATAACAAGCTATCAAAAAAATGGCTGCAAGCCGGCATTACGTATCTTATCGTATTCCGAGCTAGTATCCTTTGAAGACCCGTTCGTTGAAACAATTAATGTATTCTTAGATACGTACTAATCTATGCTTAGTGTGAATGTCGTGGCTTAAAAGCACGCGGTCCAATTTATTATCGTCTCGTAGTATTTTGACGCGGTCGATGCGTTGCGCGTCGGATGGCATGTCTACCGACGCAGATAACTGATAAAAAGAGCATTCGGTCCCGAACAGATCGTGTTGGCAATAACATTTCGTCTCGTCGGCAAACTCCAAAAGCTGCTGATCGTTGAAGAAGGTTCCTGTTTACCAACATATTGATATTTGATCGATGTTTGGTTATTTTGGTGCTTGATGGTTAAATGATTGGTGTTTGGATGGTTTGGATACTTGATACTTGATATTTGGATGTTTGATAGTTGAATACTTGATGCTTGGATTCTTAGATTTTTGGATTCTTAGATTTTTGGATTCTTAGATCCTTGGATGCTTGGATGCTTGAATGCAATAACGAATCGAACATACGATCTAGATGAGAGAGAATCGCTTTTCGCGAGTCACCACCCGCTTCTTGATAGAGTCGCATTATTTCAAATGGAGCCGCAGGATCTCTTCCCGGATGAAAAGTAACAGGGCATTTTAATTGTGCTTGAAGTTCTCCGGTTGCTAGAATAGCCCGTTTCTCAAAATCTGCTTGAAACAAAGTCTCAAATCTATTATATCTATTAAAATTATCGGAAATAATAATCGAATATAATATTTACGCACCTTCAATTGGCCAAGCACTTCCGACTTCTCCAATGAATCCTGTTCTTACGTCGGGACACTCCTCGCAGCCAATAGTCATTTCTCTTAACATTGTATTGTACATTTCTTCCTTGGATAATCGGAGCTCGCTTGCACTTTGAGTGGCAGCAACATAATAGCCTTCGCACGATTAGTTAACCCAATGATAAAGTAATAATATAATTTTGTTGGAGAATTTTTAAAAAAGACTTTAGTTAAAAATATGGATGATCAAAACGAACAACGCGAGTGATCCACATGCGTATAAAAGAGGAAACTTCTCCCATTGAAATTTTCATTACGAATTTGATCATCCGATAGAAATTAGTAGAAAAATAGATACCTGTTCCAGCGATGATATTGACGCCAGTTTCTTTACTAACTTTCTTCATTAACATAATGTCGCGTTTCAAACCATAATTACTATTCTCCGCGATAGTACCACCGCCAAATTCGCGATAGAGTTTCATGTCTTCCAAGACGGCGTCCATCGAGTCTTTATCGTTCAACATTAAATTGTATAAATTACTGTAACTGTAAGCGAAAATTCACGTTACATTATTATTATTATTTGGATCCCTGATCCATCGCCGTAAATATAATATACTTTAAACGCACGGATATTGTCTGACGAATCCAACATTCCTAAGCTCGATCTTCTTATCCAGAAAACGCTCCAAATGGGCCGGAGGTGGGACGTAAAATGTGTCGAATACCAAAGACAGATGCTCGTGAGTAAGAACTCTACCGAGACGGTTCAGATCCTTTTCTCCGAGTACTGAGCAAACGAGCCAAATTTGTGACAATTAGCTTAGCATATCAAACGAATAAGTTAATAAACAACTTTGATGGCAATTTAGTTGAGCTTGATTTTAATTATGAAAGTAGAAATGAAGCTACTCATACAAAGGGAAGAATACCAAAGTTGATGACTCGACAGTGGAAAAGTTAAAGTGTATTACAAAAACTAGATACGTTAAAGTTGAATTTACGCGTATGAAAGGAGGATTACTAAGAGTATCAAGTCTTGAATACACTTACCAGTTTGTACGCATCTGTTAGCGTTCTCCATCGTTCCCTCGAACACGCGAAGATTTATATTTTTCTTCAGGTTCCAACGACTTTAAGAAAAGTGAAACCACGAAAGTAAAAACGTCCCAACGTCTTAGAGAATCGCACGTTAGACGATCATCTTCGAGCTGAACTAACTACAAGCTGATAGAAGAGATGATATTTTCTTATCTCTACCGATACATTGGAGCAATACTCATTTGCTACGCGACGTGTATGTAAAATGTGATTCTGTCGATTGAACGCGGTGCAAAGTTTTCGTCAGGCTTTCACGACTTAAGATATCTTATTTTTTAAACAACGCTAATGCGATCATTGATAACCCGTATCTCTTAAGCGAAGTCGCTCGTGAAGAACTCTGTCGGAATGATCCGAAGAAGTATTTGAATTTATGGAATTTTTCACAGATTATTTTGTTGGCAACAGTTACAGAAACGTTGTTAAGTAATTATTTGAAGGGGGACGATGCAAGGACACTGAATCCTGATGCGTCTTCTAGTTTAAGCTTCTATATCTCACTTGCAATAATACAAATGGAACCAACGTTTTTCAATAACGTAATTAAATATGTGTGTAATTAATATATACAAGATAAATAGATTAATAAAGAATAAAATAGAGGGATAATACGATAACAGCCGTAAAAATGGCACCACCTCGAAAACAAGATCCATTCTACCACGATCGGTAGCAGTCTGTGTTACTGGACATTAAAGATACGATTTGCGTTAAAGAAAACGGTAGTTTATTACAGTGAAACCATCCGGTGTACCACATTTACAATGCATCCCCACGTGTTCGACAAACTGTATCTTCAAAGAGTGACGCGATCCCCATCGCGATCCCGTGTCGAAGTTGTGCGGTGTAAAAGAAAAGAGTGTGAAAAATAAAGAGAAGAAGAGTTACAGTGTATCATACAAAGTGCAGGCCTTTATTTTTGCACGTACATCTGTTTGCAACGAGTAACACGACAACGCCCCTTAATGTTGCTCAAACTTGATTTCGTTTAATTACTATTACAAGAACCAGACAGACGAAGCAAAAACCATCGCATACGCTCATCCCCTGATCGCTCACGGGAGTGAAAAAGACTATTTAGATCCATAGGATGTTTTTTTTTTCTTTTTTCCATATTTTAATCGAACCATGCATCGCGAAAATGTGAACACTTATCCCGTTCGAACCCCGCAGAGCACGGTGATCTCGCTTTCATTTCTTACAACTAAAAAGCGTATTGAACTCGTAGACGACACAGGTCGACGTTCACATTTAAACGCTAACCGAACAAACAACGAAGAAAATCCCGATCTCTCCCTCGGTCGTGTTACATTCGTTAACCGAGTGCGAAACGAAAAAAAAAAGTAGGAAAATAAACGGAATAAATAAATAAAGTTAAACGAAAAACGAAGTAAGACGCCAGCAATGAAAAGAAAAAAATGAAATGGAAAAGCGTATCTCGATCTACGACTCGCGGAGGGCCTCTTGAACCTTAAGCGGTATGTACATGCACGCGACGATCTTAATTTAAAATCTAACGAGGGACTCGAATTGAAACGCATTTTTAATGAATATCCTTCCAAGGAATCTCATTTTTATCTTCCGCTTCTTTTACACGGTATAGAGGAGCGCTCTTATCGCGCCTCTTAGAGAATCTTTGCTCCTTTTAGAGAGGATTCGCTGTTGCAGAGAAAACTTATCCGAAAAAAGCTCGAGGAATTAAAGTAGCATTAATTTTATTGTATAATCGAAACGAATAATGGCTCGAACATTCTTTATATTTTATTCGTTATTCGAGCATTTTATCTGGATAAGGATTCCGCACATCTCTACTTTGGTTTCGACGATGCTGTCGCTGACAAACGAGTCCCTCCGCGAGGTTCAAATAATTGTTACACGCTTTAATCGAGAAAATAAGGGGGACGAGATGCCGTATCACATAAATGTATATTATATATATATACACGTCTTAGTCGGCAATTCGTCTATTTGTCTCGTTACGTCTCTCTCTTCCCCTTTCGAATGTATAGAATATAAAATGCTACGACATTTTCTCCTTGAGCAAACGGTTCGTGCAGCGTTCGCCTAAATCACTTCATCATTCGAGTATACACCGGTACGTTTCGATCTGGATCCGAATTTCGCTGGATGTCACGTTAAGGAGATTCTGCTGCGCGCGATTAAATAATTCGTTAGTTCGCGGGGTCATCTGGAAAATCTAATACAGAAATTTATTCTGGATCGTTCAGTTGATCGTTTTCGAACAAGAATTCTATTGCACGAGTTTCGAGTGACAATGATGATTAACTAGAATCGCGGTACTTAATATTCAGTGGAGATAACAGTTAAATAATTACACGATACAAAGCGAAAGATACCTAAGGCACGCCAGATCGTTAATTAGTAGACTGCGGATCTTTATGCAAAATAATATGTTTGCAAACTTATCTACAAAAATTTGACCTAGATAGAAATTTATTTTACTCTGCAAATATTATAGTATAAACCCTACTTTCAATATATCTTTATATTATAGCATACTGCGTGTATTTTGTAGTTTTTCGTACATTCAATTTCCTATAAATCTACAAAACTCCGCAGTATATTAATTAGCGTGAACAGAAAATACTTAATCGTAGAATGCATTTTATTTCGAATACTGGACTATTTCTTACCAATAAATATGTGCGTTGGACTTTCAAGATACCCGATAAGCGCGAACAACGTGTGGTACGTGTTCTGGTAGAATCTGATCCAGATCGACGACACTCGCGACGAGAATTGCACGATCGTCCGATGGCCATGTAGACATGGCCAAAAAAAGAGAATAGAAAAAAAAATATTTCCGTGATCGCTAAATCAACAATGGTAATTATTATGGATAATAGTACCGATAGCACTAATGGTAATAATAATAATAAAATTGATAATACGGTAATTAATAATTTACATTTACACTTCCTCGTACTTACTTATTCGGTTAATTAATTATATTCCCTATCTACATACGGCATGCTTAACGTTTACACTCGTCCATCCTTCGAACGCGATACAGTCTGTACTAAACCGTAAATCCTTAAAAGAAAATGATGAAACGCTCGAACGTATACATATATATATATATATATAAAAATAAGACGAATTAATCGTAAAAAATATACAGAGAAACGCGTAATGTACAAATCGATAGAATGGATGATATTCGTTTCGTGGAATTTATCTCTTTCACGGATTATATCGATTATTCGTTAACGTATTCGTTTTCGTCGTGCTGGGATGTAGGGGGGGGGGAGGAGGAGGAGGAGGAAGAGGAGGAGACTGATAGAAAAAGAAAATAAATCGTACGATCCAGAAAATGGAAAGACGGGGCCCGTTTACCCAAGGGACGCAATACTACGGGACTAAGAAGGATATTATAAATATTAAATGTCTAATAACAAAGCACTGCTAAGATGAAATTGACGAGTGCGCGCGAAAGTATGAATTCAGAATGAGTCAAATTGGTTTTCTGAATGATTGATCGGTACGACCAATAGAAAAGACAATTAGCAACGCGCAACGATGCTTCATTCCATGGCAATCTTGCACACAATAGATTATCTTCATAAACTATCGTCACTGTCGTCAGCGTGAGCTTCGACTGATACATTTGCTGCCAGTCCCGCAGCACTTCCCTCTCTGTTGCTTTCGATCTCTTGCTCCATCGAATTGTTCTGTACTTGTGGTTCGTCTGTACGCGCGGAACGAAAATAAATAAATATGATTGTTAAAAAGATATCGTTAGGTACTTGAAAATTAGATTACTAAAGTGGAGGTCGCAATCTAAACGAGCATTTTTAAGTTAAGATAAAACAAACGTTCAAGTTGCGATCTCCTCTTATATATCGTAGATTAGTCACCTGACTGAGTTGCCGGAGATTCCTCGTCTCCCTGACCTGGACTCAATATAGCTTCTTTAATTTGACTGTTGACACCCTTTGGATCTAGATCTGTCGCCCAACTAAAGTACATTAGCGCCAGATGCGTATTACCCAACTTTTTATGCACCTGTACGAACAATGAACGTAGATAAGGAAATTCGAATTGTATAAGACAATACAGGTGAAAAATAATGATTTTTACCTTTCCTATCGAATAATAGACTAGAGACTCTTTGGGTACAATATTTTTCAACTCCTCGAATTCCCTAAGCGCTTCTGCATGCCGGCCAATCGAGAAATTAATACTTGCACGATGAAATTTGCATAACGTATTGTTGGGGTCGTTTGCAATCGCAGTATTTAAAGTTTTTAAAGCTTGATCAGTTTTCTTCAGTGCATGTTGTACAACACCGATGTGGCACATTATCGCAGAATTCTGCGGATTAATTTGTAGTGCACGCTTGAAATGTAATTCGGCTAAGCTATACTGCTCCTGTTTGGAGAATATCGTTCCTAATCCAAACCTGTCATGCAAAAGTCATACATTGCGATTACTCTAACCGATCAAGTCACCGCCTATATTTCTTTGAGACTCTAGTAAAATCTATACACTCGTTTGATAAACTTACCATGCATTGTAATGTCTAGAGTCAAGCCTGATGGCGTTACGAAATGCAGTGATAGCCTTATCTAATTCTTCTGTCATCACATATTCGTGACCAAGAAGTGTGTAGGCATATGGAAAATTGGGATCTACCTATAGATTTGTAGAACATACAACTTTCATTTAGCTAAATTATAATCAATAAGCTTCCATGAATAACAAAATGTCGAAATAAATAACATACCTGAATGGCTCTTTGGAAGAATTTAATTGCCGTTTCATGTTCGGTTTGCGCAGAAAATAAATTTCCGGTAGCGCACCAAGCAGCTGGTGAATTGCGATCTTCGGAAACGAGCTCTTGCGCGAGAGTAGAGAGCTGCACCTCGGCATGCAAATGCCATAAAACCGTACTATAAATTTCTATAAGTTCAGTCCTTTGGGGTTCCAATTGTCTCACTTCTGCAAAATAACTGTACACCCAAACGACGAGTTAGAATTTCGGGGTGGTTGATTCGCTAAAAATTAAATCAATGTAGTAGAAATTTACTGGACTTTACCTGGCAGCTTTTTTGTAATCTATCATCTCAAAGTGCGCACGAGCTAGCATGGATAACACCCATCCTGTGTTATAGTGTTGCGCTGGAAGAACACTTAATATTTCAACAGCTTGAGTACAATTAAATTGACTTAAATGTTGATATGCCATTCCTAATTCGCGTAGCAGTGACATTAAACCTTCTAAAAATGTAAGAAGAACCAAGTTGTAATTAAGGTAGTATAAGATATGAGTATCCTTCTAAAGATGGAGTTACAATGTTAACATACCAGCGCATTGTTTTTGGAGTGTTACTGCGCAAAAATTGATATTACTTTGATTGTTCAATGCATTGACGTTAGCTACAGCTTTTTCCGACGTAATAGTTTCCGTTTTTTCCTTTTCATTTCGATTTCGCTCATTTAGCTCGTTGAAATTCGCTTTATTTAAATTAGTCTTTGAAAGTCTAGCTTTTGTTTTTCGAGATGGGGATTTAGGTGTAGTAAATTTATTTCTATTGGGAGATTTATTGTTTTCCTAATAAACAAACAAATATATATATATCGATTGTAATTTCTAAGCGATATAACATTAATATTTAGGTATATTTAGAAATGAAAAATTTAAAAAAAGAAGAAATAACTACCTTCACTGAATAGCTATGACTGAAAAGTCTCGATGAACGCCTAACATTGGTACCTTGTAGTGTTGGTGGTGCAGGTGTTGGAGTAGTAGGCGTCACTGTTACGATATTAGCGCTATTACTCGTATTTCCTGACTGTGAAAATACTGGTTTCCCTTGCTGTAAAGGTGTATCTTTCCTCGATATTAAGTGCTGTGCATCAAAATATTACATTATACAGTACATAGGTACGCGTTGCATATGCAAGAATTTAAAGATTGATATTTAAAACTTACCCCGACATGAGCTTTTAAACTAGTTACGCGTTTTACTAAACTTTTCTGATCGTTAGCTTCTGTAAGAGTAATATGCGAAGGTAGTACTGTTGGTTCAGGTGAATTGCTTTCCAATGGTAAGATACCAAAACTTGGTGTTAGGGGGCTCATAGTATTATTGAACATACTACGGTATCGCGGAAGCTTAGGTCTTGGTGATATCGAAGAACAATTACTATAATGCGTTGGTAGATTTTGTGGGCTCTCATCAACAGAAGAATACAACCGTACACCAGGTCCTATACCGTTCATTATAGTCGATGCTGTTGTTATTTGTGCCGGAGTACTACAGGATTGAAAAAACAAATATAGACAGACTCACACCAATTTTGTAACAAATAACTCTTGCATACATTGTTATAATAAGTATGTACGTACACGGTGTTGCCATTTGTAGTAGGTGTACCATTCGTATTATTCAGAGGTACAATGAGATCAGATTCTGTGGCATATATGGGAGTAGATATACTACCATGGCACATTGCAAAATTGTCTAATTTGTCTAACTGAAAAACTTTTGCAGGATCTACCACTTCCCCAACATTACATAATTCTTCGAACGAATGCCATAAAAATGGATTCAACTTTAAAGCCAATTTATGCGCATCGTTTCCTTTCGCGGTGCGCATCATTTTGTAATAAATCTTAGCTATAATCTGAAGCGAGAAACATGCATGTTCGCCGAACTGAGTTATAATTTCTTCTAAATTTTTCAATTGTTTGTAATACCCTCCTATTATCGCCGCTTCCGCTTCTGCGTATCTAAAAACTCGTGCGTTAAAACATAGGATAATATTAAAATGCTAGAAGGAAATAGCTTTGCACTTACTTTTCTAAATCGTAACAACATTTGGCCAAGAGAAATCTGCATTGCGCCGAGTTTGGGGATTTTTTAGAAAGTAATGCGTAAGCTTGTCTAACTCGTCCCGAACGATAATAACACGTTGCCAAGAGGAATAAAGTTTCTTCGGTGTCAACTATAAAACATTTTGATTAATAACATAATATAAAAAAACTGAATCTATAAAAAAATTGAAACCAGAAACTTACCTTCAGCGCACAACCTTTCCGCTAAAAATATTGCATCCGGATAAGCATAATGATTTAAACAATGCCATATGGCTGCCTGCAATTACATATATCATAATATATTGATGAAATACACATACAGACATTGCAATAATAAGCATTTAATTATTACAGTTCTATGAAACATAAACTAAATACATAGTACCAATGTAATTAATAGTCTACAAAATGACACATTTGAAGTTAGAAAAGTTTGTAAATTTAGATAGAAAATACGAGAAAAAACACGTAAACGTTTACGACGTTTGTACTTATTTATAGTCGTATCCCCTCCCATTTACGTCCATTTCGCTAAAGCAAACAACCCTAAACAAGTACACCCTCACGGAAAAATACATTTAATCGAATATTGGCTGAAACCTTGATAATTCGACAAACGATATAATACCACGAAAGAAATGGAGTATCGCAATATAACGCGAAAATCTCCAAATCAATTTCCCTTTAAGAAGAAAACGTACGCGCAAACGATTTCAATTTTCTGATGTCAGTATCAATAAGTGTGGATACGCTCGATAGAAAATCGCACGTCACTGGTTGTCTCCTGAACTTTCGCGACTTTTACCTGCACTGGCTCCTGTACGATCATCGTTCACACGGCAGGCTCGTTCATATAAGAATAATCTCAAACGTTCCAAGGAAATTTAATGAAGAAAATCCAAAGTCGAATGACTGCTGTGTATAAAAATTTCTTAGGAGTCCATCTTTGCTCCGATTCTTTTGAAGTGAACAACTAACTTCAGAACAAAGGGTTACCAACATGACAGAAACGTCATCTACATAAGAAATTAATAGATAAGGACTTGAAGGAGGGTGCAGATGATAGTTCTGTGAGGAACGCGAGTGATAAGATAGTAAACACTAATTACAGGAGAAGCGACCAATAGAATAACTGAGAATTTTGATAATATCCTTGTCTTATAACAATATCGTAATTGTATCATGATACAATTCGATTAAAGTATGATATATTGCAATAAAAATGCCAGAAGAATAAATATTTTCTATTTTTTTTTATCATAACGAATCATTTGAATACACTTTGAACATAGGGAATTTCCACATACTCCATCTTATCTTGAAGTATCTTTGATCGTTTGAATTTGAAAGTTTTTGTTGAACAACGAGCCAACGAGTCCAACGAGCTTTCGTAATTGTGATAACAACAAGTATTATTATAAATCAACAATATGAGTAATTATGGTGATTTAAGTCAAATATCAGGTATGTCAATCGTTAATTTGTCGATTTGTAGTTTACCTCAATTTAACAAGTTACGAGACACGAAGAATAACATTTATATTTGTAATATTATGTTTATTCTCAGATATACATAGTATCTCACGGATTTCGCGTGTGAGTTGCAGTCGATTAATGGGAAGAGCAGATTCCTTACGAAATATATTCGAACGACAATGTAGTTTCACAAGGAATTCAAGTAGGAACATCACAAACCTTAACCAAGGGACGAATTATTTACAGAAAATTATAAGATGTTTTAATCAGTGTGAGGAAAGCATAAGTGAACATGTAAAAAGCAAAATTATTCTGGAATGCATAAAAGAGGCAGCATTGAATGTAAAGGGAATACTGTCTGAGAATGTTGTTAATAAATTGAAAGGATTACTTTTGATTCACGAATGTAATAAATACATGCATATGCCGTCTACATCAAATAATTTACACGAGAAATTAACAGTTTTGGGAATTCGTGATTTACCAAATTATGTTCTCAGTTATGAAGAGATAATAAATGTCAAATGTTATACGGAAACATTGTTACGAGAAAAGATACACAGCTTTATATTAAGGTTTAATATATTCAGTATTTACTAAGTTAAGGTACACATAAGGTACACATATGTGATAAATTTATAATGTTCCAGATATGATTCTCTGGGAGGAAATATGAAAGAAATAATGAGGTCAACCGAAAGTAATGTTCGTACAACTTTATTTGACATTCATGAAGTACAAATGCTGGAATGGAAAGATAAGATCGAAGAAATGTGTTCGCAGTATGAAGTTGACATTGTCAAATATAGAACTTTGATTAACAAGTGGAAAAATCTCAAATACAAAGATACTAATGCGATTTATTTACAAAAAGCAGAATATATATTATTACAAGCTCAAGTTGCACAAGTGCAAGCAAAAATTACAAAGTTGACGTGTATCATGAGAATGTATAAGGAAACACCAGTAACAATTGATGCTTATAAAATATTAAATGCAGCCATAGATGAAAAATTATTTGTAACAATGAATGAAGTCAAAGAAAAAGAAAATTTAAAGAAACATTATGAAAGCTTACAAAATTCAGAATACGATGAAGTTTTAAAGACTTACTTATATTTCTGCAAAGCTATCAAGATAAAGAAACAAATATTAGAGAATATGTAAATTCATTGTAAATTAAAGAAATCATTGATTGTGTTAGAGTATTTTGCAAGAAAACATACAAATTGGTCTGTATTTATAAAAAAGAAACAATTATATTGTTATCAAATATTTTATTACTTATTACTGTAAACTATAGAAGCAAGATAAATGAAAATTATATGATATTTTATGATATTTTTACTACTGATGTTTTTAATAAACCTATTCAGGATGTACTAGGAAGAGAATATTGAAAATTATAAAAAAAGGCTTATCCATTCTATTTATTCACTGTCTGATAATGTATTGTCGTTTTGCGAAACGATGGCAGGTACACAATTTTTATCGGTAAGCATACCATGTTCAATTAAAAATGTCTCAACATCCGATGCATAAAAGTCTGCTCCTAGGTAATCTGTTACATGAACAAAATTTCCTATTACTTGACCTGCTTTGTAAACTAATAAAGCTGGTACTCCTTCTCTTTTAAAATGTTTACTAAGTCCAGCCACTGAACCTGTAATATAAATTATTATTATAATTAATAGTAAACACTATTGCAATAATACTTCGAATGGTATAATATTCGAAAACCATACCTAGAATTTTACAAAATTTTACAAAGGGGTAATCTTCTGCAACCGATATTAAACATCCATTCATAGCTTCGCAGCCAGAGACATTATTCTCATAAATATGAACAACAATTGTTACAGACTTGTCTTCATTGTCAATTGCTTCCAAAAAATAATCTGTTGTTTCTAAATTAATAACTTTACCAAAACGAAGTTTTTCTGCTCTTGAAAGCATCTCTTTCATTCTCTGTCTTTGATACTCCAGAAGAAATTCATCGGCTAATAATTCAGCTAAATCTGGATCAGTTTGTAAAAGTTCTTTTTCTTCGTCTAAAGTGGTCCGACATGATAGACTTAACTTTTTAATTAATTGAAGTCTTTCTTTTTCATTTGCATCTCTTTTTTCTGCCTCTAATTGTTTATAACGTTGCCAATCCTTGAAATATGCACAATAAATGTTTACATACATACGACAACTATAAATATATACAACAATTTTTAAATACAATCATACTTTTATTACACCCTTTGGCCCTGTATTACTGGAAGTTCCACCCCATTCTGAGAACGATGGTTCTACGGGATCCTTAATCACCGTCTCATATTTTTCATCATCCGAATCTTTATCAGAGTCAGCTGAATCGTTCCCTTCATCCTCTGAACTACTACAATAGTAATGTAACTTTTCTCCCAAAATTTTATCTTCCAAAGTTGACATATTTGATTATATTGTTTAATTAAAGACGTTTACACAATTCCTTTCACTGGCCGTTGAGTTATGCAAATTATTATATTAAAGAGAGTGTGGTGTAAAGTAGATCACTGTTACATACAAACTTGAGCAACTACTTTTAAAATTTCATCGACACAAACATTGTCTCAAATCTTATCAGCATTACATGCTAATTTTGTGTACAGCATTCGGTATAAGTAGGATATCACATCAAAGACAACAACAATATTTATGTTTCATAAAAGAATCTAACAAGCGACAACTACTTCGAAATGTCAATACGCGTAATTCATTTACGAAGACGCTGAAGATTTATTCAAGTGTTACCCAATTTATCGACGTGATTGTGTACTTTGTTGTTTTCATATAAGCCACAAAGATGACGACATATACACGTTCCTAAGACTGCGTTTCACAAGATCTCTCCGATTTGGCCGGTCGGTATACAACAGATTTTTCTGCATAGAAATGGTAATACCCATAGATACACGGCTGTCCAATGAAAAAGCCATGTAGCAGGAAAAATAGAAACTATTCGAGGACAAACTTGGGCGTTCTTCCGATAGAGGCCCTGACCAGACTCCGAAAATTAATTCAGAACTTGGCCACTAGACGGCGCCATTTGTTTATATTTACCGACATTATAGATTTTTAAATAATAATTTATTTCGTCAAATATAGCAATTGCTTGGCATTTATAAACAATTATTATGACATAATAAGTTAAGAGAGATAATGTTTTCAACTCAAACAATCATCAATTTAGTTTTAAACAGACTAACTCCAGTTGAACTCATGTTTTCAAGGAAAAAGGTTTTAAACAAATTCTAGTCAACAAACTAATGTTTATAAGATTGCTTTGTTATTCTCTATGCTTGCCATAACGTAAAAATCATGTATATATTTACTATAAAGTAGTTTCCAATACCTTTCGCACCTTTTGATAATTAACTTGTTTTTAACCGATTTCGAAAAGGAGCAGGTCACTCAATCCTACATGCATATTTATTTTTTTTTGTCGATATTAAAAACGGTATTACTTTGAATAGCAAAAAAAAGAAACAAACGAAAATTCTTCATACCATCGATACTGTGAGAATCGTGCGTTTGTTCGTGTTGCTAATAAGAATTAATTGCCCCCACACCGTATAAATTCGTAATTATATCGGGAGTTAAGTCCAGTGTATGGTATTTTATTAACGAGAATTCAATTGCACGCGAGAATGTTATTCGTAAAATATGATCTCTAACGTATTCAGCCGATATAGAGTTTCATTAATTTCGGTGGCGAGCTCGTGTGGCCGTATCAAAGTTGATTTTCTGAAACGATCGACGCATCGTTCGATTTCAATCCCGAACAAATACAACGTACAGGTACGAAGTCGAGGTTTAGAACGAACAAAAATTATTTCTCGTGCCCGCGACGACTGGTCGCAGAGCGGTTCTCACCGGTGAAAAAAATTCTTAGCCGCCTCGTTGTGACCCCCGGATGGCGGAGAGACTCTTCTCACAGATGTTTGAATCGAGATTACGACATTCTTACTTTTTCTCGTCCCCCGGGCGAAGATTACAATCTGGAACGGTGAGAGCAGCTGGACCACCGTCATTTCTTTCCCCTGTGTAACCTTACACCGCGGGTCATTTCCATTTTACGGCCACGCCGCGATCTCCGAAACTCGCGAAAGAAACACTTACGGAAGGGGGTATCGGGTATTCGCGAAACCACGGCCCCTCTTGGCAACCGATCGATCACCTGGTGGGATCGGCGACGAGCAAACTTTGAGGACAGCGCGGTTACTGGGTGGTTCTCGAGCAGCGAACGAAAATGAGGGTGTGGCGACCAAAGGGCCACATACGCCTTTCCCAGTAGAACTTTCTACTCTTTTGTATTTTCTGCACATTCAGCGACCAGACCCGTGCGAGGCGAAGAGTCCCGTTGTCATCGTCTCTAATTCACCGTGTCCCTTTCAAGGTTTCGCTGGGGCCTGAGAGCTGACGCTATTCAGGCCCAGGCGAAACCACTTCAGTAATTTATTTACGATCTTCTTCCGCTATCCTTACTACAAACTTTCCTAATTTTCTCCGTTTCCATCTATCTTCTTTTTTCTATCTAATTTTCTTTCTTTCTCGCCGAATGCCTTTTTTAAGAGACGATGGCCGGGTGCGACAACACAGTCCGTTTCAGTCTTCAGCACGGGTCGAATCACTGTCCGTAATATACCATAATAAAACTGTGAGGAACGGAATCAACGGAGTTACTCAAGTGTTCGACCTGTCTATCCTTCCGATCCCACAAGGGGAACTCGTTTCAAACGAGGTCACAATAGTCCAAGATCCAGCGACGATTTTACTCGCTCGAAAATCCAAGTCCTCGTATAATTTTGATACGTGATGTTACGTAAAATCGAAGCGGCCGAGCGTGGCTGTTCCGCGGTTGAAAATCGTCGAGTGTCCCGCGCGTCATCAAAATTCGAATTACATCGGGACAATCGGTCGCGCGGGGCGCAGTTCATTAAATCCGCGGACGTATTAGAATTAATCGCGAATTAATTTCGGTTAACGGTGTTCCGTCCTTTAACGCCGATAACTCTGGGATTATCGGCGCAGATTTCATTGGCTGTCCCATTGTCGCCTAAATGCACCTAGAGGGGTTGTTCCGAAACCGTCCCAGCGACACCGTCACGCGTATTTCGCTCATTATAGATGGGTTCAGCTGTCTTTCATGGACTCCAAATGATAATTCAATTACGCTTGGCTACACACGAGCACGAATAGCTCGCGTCCCCATGAATATCATCGGTCCCGTGTACACACGCGCTGGGATGACCACACGTGCTATACTTACCCTAATGGATAACGAATGCGTGTCTCGTAAAAGTTTCGCCTCGAGAAGCATTTAAGGCGACCAGATTTATATAACGGGTGGACGAACACGCGAGGACTGCGCACGGGTCGCGCCTTCTCGGATAGGATCGTGGTAATTCCAGTTCTTCGAGATGGAACAAACGGACTTGGGAATTCTCGTTCGCGATAATGAGAAGCGATATTAAATTTGTTGTTTTAAAGAGAAAATTTTTGCAATAATTCGTGACTCAATTTGAACTACGAGACGTCTCGTAGTTGGCAGCGATTGGGTCAAAGAAGTTCATCCAGCAAAATTTTAACACTTTACCGACCTCATTCTTAGATCTTTCCTATCACCGGGAATTATATCAAAATATGGGAGCTTACAGAGCAAAGCAACTCAATTTAAAGTAACAAATACTTGCTGGTTGAGGACAAAAAGCCGATCAATCGGCTACCGGTCGTTAAAGCGTCAAGACTCGAAGCGATGTTCAGCTTGGAGAGCCGATGGCTGCATTACGTGTGAATGTCGCGACATTGTCGCCGGTACTTGACGGGAAATTAGAATGTAGCGAGGCGCAATCCCCCTGCAGCAGGGCGTTGGTAGGCGGTCCCAAACACACAAAGTTAAACGGTCTCCCGGCACGCTGCTAGCCGTTCTCTTTTATTCATACGAGCCTCTCCGAACGTAATTACTCTTGGCAAGTGGAGAGATATCGACGAACGAAGGGACAATCATTTTTCTCCCCTGGCGTTAATTAGCGCTCGCCGCGGCGCCCCTGTATTTATACGCGGCGCACACCGTTGAAAATCGTGTGGCTCGCTGCAACGAAACCACCTCGACCCATCTCGATCCCTTTGAGGCCGAGCGTTTCGCGTGCAACCGAGGATCCCTCACCGAAGAAGTTTCGACGCGATCCTCGCGATTCTTCGCGGCTTTAACCGCGGCTACGGCCGATACAATAGAAACGTTTGTACGCCGGCGATTCCTCTGATACGCTGTTACGTCCCAGCACGAACGGGAATCGGCCAACCGGGAAGGAGCACTCGTGTTTGCTGTTTTCATTGTTTTCGTAACTTCTTCGTCTTCGGCTTCGAATACAGGGAAGTCGACTCTACGCGAACTCGACGCGGTGGCTGCCGGATTAAAATTCGTGAAAATTCGTATCGCTTTATCAGGTACAATAACGTAATAATGAATCCTGTCGCTCGTTTATGTGTGCCAAAATTGTGTTAAGGATAGAAGAGGAAGAGAAAGAAAAAAAGAAAGAAGACGCTCTATCCTTGTTCGACCTGCATTAAATCGAATTTGGCAAAAGCATTTTGAGAAGTTAGCGCGAATGGAACCTACACCTTGTCTCACTCGGCTACGAGCGATTTTGTCGCGCTGCGACAATAAATTAGGACAAGGTGTTATCCGTACCATCGCGTCCAAGGTACTCCTTCCACTGTCTCTGGACAGCTTGATCGATTCCCGAATCACCGCAATCAGAATTATCGATCACCCTTCAGGAACGGTTCCCTACCCGTACAGGACAAAAACGCTCTCGTCGATCTTTTAGCGCTCTATCCGCGCGAAGCGACAATATTGCAACGGTCAGCACGGTTTCGACGCCGGTCGTTTTATCATCCTCTCGATTTCGAATTATCGAGCTCCGATGCACTCGCGCGTCCACGTCGCGGCCGTCGCGGCTCCCGCGGTCGGGATCCAGCGCGGATTTATCGGATCGTGGCTCCGCCGTGCGTGGATCGCGCGGGCAGAAAAAAAAAAAAACTCCGTTTGACGAATGAAGACAATTAATAATCGACGCTGCGCGATCCGGGCCCGCGGTTCGCATCGTTAACGCTATTTATTACTCGTTACTCGACGTCTTAACACCCACCGGGCGCATTCTCCGCGTAAAAAAATCAAACAACACGCGACGACGTGGCCGAGGTTGAAATTCATCCATTGGAGCGAAGCTACCGATCGCGTCTTGTAGCCATCGATACGGGTATTATGCTTCCAAGTTTTGTTATTATCCACAAGTGACTACTGCGCGACAGAGGTCGTCAAAAGAATCACAAGAGCGACAAAAGCCGGTTCTTACAGTAATTTTGGCACGCCCTGTATACGCAACTATACATGAAATATCTTCTGTAAGAAATAAAGGTATACAAATTAATAAAGAAACAAACTACTTTCGATAGTAAAAGATCACCAAATAAAGTACAAAACTCGAAGAAAAAAAGTACTATTTTACTACAAAATTCTGCGCGATAAACTCCGTGGAGGGGGGGGGGGGGCAGAGGGGTTAGTCGAAGGGACGCGCGCGGTAGAATCGTGTCGAGCAAAATTTTTCCGTCAGGCGGATCCGTTAGGATGATCGATCGTACCGGGCAATCATGCGAAACTCGTTTGACTTGTCAATCGCGAAAACGCTCCTCTTAACCCGTAGTCGAACGAGTGTATCGTCGGATTAGCGTCCGATGGAACTGGTCGTGGCGCGAAATGCGGTTCCCCTGGCTTTTCGATTGTAGTGCTCGCGTGATTTTTCGATCAGGCTTCTAAGGATCTATAAATAAAGCAGAAATTAACCC